GCTATAAGATTGTTGCTAATCCTTGCCCTTTGCTCTTTCTGCGATGTCGCACCCAGTCTCCTTGGAAATGAAAGCTCGAACTGTCTTTAGGCACGACAGCTGCCCTGCCAGAGGATTGGTTTCAATCGGCGATGGCCTCGAGGCGACAGCCGCAGGTCGGCCGCGACATCGGAGCGCCACCCACGTTCATGCCTTATCTCCGGCAAGGCCAGCACCCTACATCGGACGTAACAAGCGCGCCTTTCGAGTGATTCATTAACTCCTTTGTAGTCTCGTGCTGCAACAAAAATTGAGATTTGGCAAAATTCTTTCAATTTTTCTTGTAAAGCTCACTTTGTGAGTTCCCGGGCAGCTTTTGAGCTGCTACTAAGCAGCCAATTAGTCTCGACTTTCTCCCGGTCCAGCAGTTCGTTGTTCCTGTGATTTTTGAACACCCGACAAATGGTTCGGTCATGTCATAGCTCACAACTCATTTTCTAACCGCACGATGACAGCGCAACGCCTGCTGTGTTACTGCGATGTGAGGAGCCATGATCGTTCGCGGACTTGTACGCGCAGTTGCCGGTTTTCGTTTGCGTCTATTCGTCCTTTTCAAATTCGCATTGCCTTTTTTTTGCTTTCTGGCTGTGCTCCAGTACTCGCTAGGTATCGTTTGCTCTTCTAGAATTACAGTATTAAGTTCTAGAATTACGTGCACAAACAAGAATTGTAGAGTAAATCTAACGGAATCTTGAAGTAGCTAATGTCGGTAAACTAAGTCTTTGTAGCCTTTTTTTTGTTCCATTGTAAGGGCAATGACTCCACAATTCGATTACCCAAACACTCCGCTTTGTCGCGCACTTCTAATGTCTTTGTGTAAAGTTGATCATCTTGGAACAATCCCCGCGTTCATTTTACGTGCCGTTTCAGAGGACTTTTCTGCAAGAAATATCTTTAAAGTTGGTTTGCGTGTGGTCTGAGTTAGACCTTCAGTTATCCGCAAGTTCAAAGGCCTGCAATATTTCATGAGCGGTTCTTTTTCTTGAAATATGACGTTTACGCAACTCCTCCACTCAATTTTTCCCTGAGCTCCGCCCTTTCTGCTGCATCGCTGCAATTTTCTTCGGCGTTTCCCCGATATCTGCACATCTGGTTCTTAATCAAGAAATTCAAGCGGCTTAGATGTTTTCAGGACAAACAAATGTCATCTCTTCCCGTCCAAGAAGCTTAGATATTCCATTTAATTCAGAAAATCTGGAACTCGATAGTACGCGATATTTATTTTGATTTTTTT